GACAGACAGACAGACATACATACATACATACAGACAGACAGACAGACAGACAGACAGACAGACAGAAAGACAGACAGACAAACAGACAGACGGACAGAAAGATAAAACACTCGGGGGTAAGTGAGGGAAGACATATACGAGGAAACAGAAAAGGCAAGAAAATCGGGACAGGAACAATGTTAGGTTATCTGATCTGCTCTTTTGTTAGACACGTCGCTGTAGACTCCACTGTGAAAATAATGGCGCCTGTAATGTAGGCAAATGGTTACTTGCCGTTCCGCACTTATGTACAAGTAACTTGAATTGTTTGACATTTCCCGATTTTCTCTGGGATGTTAAGACGTGGCAGGATAAAAAAAAACTTAAAGGGAGCAATGCTCTGCGATTGGAAAACGAAACGTTTTCATTCTCGATAATAGCATGTCTATGCTAGCCAAAAGTGCAACTGCATTTGGGGAGTCATTTGCACATAGAGAAGAATCGGTTTTGCTCTCATCAGGGTTTTTTAAAGTGCCTTTAAAGGCTTCCACTTAAAATCTGCAGCTTTCAGATAGGAAAAAAGTGGTGTAAAAAGGGGGGAGGGGGTATTACAGAATGAGAATCGTAACTAAACAAGTCTTTCGGTACTTGAATCTGCGTCACTCGCGTTGCATTCCCACGAAATATACACCCAATCTGCAACAGGCGCGCCATAAACTATAGACATCAAAATAACCCTTACATAAATGAAGCACAATATAACAGACCATCGGTTCAGCTTGTAAGGAAAAAGTAAGTAGTTTCCAAGCATGAGAAGCAAACGATGCCACTGTGAGGGGGACAAAAAGACAAGTTAAATGTGTTCTTAACCAAATGCTGTTGTCTATCAATATGGAAACAATTATAGCATATTGCTTAGGAGATTTTCAAATAGAATTTCAAGTGATCTCACGTGCGTCTGCGTAAATGTTCGGGGATAACAGCCACTGTTTCCCAAGAACGTTTAACGACAGAAACCAGACGAGACACATAAATCTATGACCTTGCAATCCAAGTGGCGACACATTCTTTAAAATTTCATTTTTGTTTTACCGACACTTGAAACCTGCCCTTCGAGTTTTTAAAGCCAAGTGCAACCCTCATTAGAGTCATGATGTTGAGAGTCGTAATCAGTCATAGCCCCCCTCTTCAACCGTCTTCGTCACAACCACTCGTTCACCCTCTCCAACACCTCTTAGGACACCTAATTTACTCGTTCATTGCTTTTCGTCGTCCACATTCGTGACGCCAAACCTACATTTATTCCTCTTCGCCTCAAGGGAAATAAGACATCGAGTTGGTGAAAACATTACTTAACAGTCGTCGATTTGCCGTTTGGCGTCGCTAATGGGCACACAAAAAGGACGTTGGTTAACATATGGGATGCTGTACTTTGCGGACGAAAAAAAAGAGGAGTGATGTGTGTGTGTGGGGTTGGTTGTTTTTTGTTGG